TTTTTTAAAATAATTTAATTTTCAAAAATTCATTTTATATAAAAACAAATTTCCAAAAAAAAACTATTTTTCAAAAAAAAGAAAGTAGTCGGTTAAGATGCTATGCGTGAGATAATTAGTTAGTGAGCTTGTCTTTGCGTGGGAACTTGAGTTGGAAAAGTTGTTAAAGTTTGAAACAGCCACTCCGTGAATCAACGACAAACTCTCTTTTCAAATTCAAATTCAAAGTCCTAACTTTATATTACTCTCCAAAGTATATTTTTTTATATATTCATACTATTTTGTGTGCTTAGAAAATTCGAATTAATACCTTGTTAATATTTTATAATCTTGATATGTTAATATAAAAAAAATCTAAAAAAACTATTCGATGCATTTTAAAGGAAAAGGTATTTTTTTTAAAAATATAGTGCATAAGATAACAAACACACAATTAATCTTCGAGATAATCTTAGAACCTGCAATTCTTTTGATTGGAGTATGAGATTGCAAATATATTTTCAAGGGATGTAAAATCATATGTTCTGAAACAGTGGTTGAGTGGGCTCCAAAATCCTCTGTTACACGTTAATTTTCAACGGGCCACTCCGCGTTCTCTTTTGACTTTCGGATGCCAAATTGTAATGTTTCCCTGCCTTTTCCAAACTACTCTATTGTGAATGGAATACATTTCCGCGTTATTTATTAAAAAAAAAATTATGTGATTTTTTTTAACATTAAATTAGTTGAAATTTTAATTTTTAATTTTTTTAATTTTAAAAATTATGTGATTTTTTTTAACATTAAATTAAATTAGTTGAGATTTTAATTTTTATTTTTTTTAATTTTAAATTTTTATAAAGTTAATATAATTTGTAAATTTATAATAATTTAAGTTAGCCTGATTTATGAGTTTGGCGTGATATTATTTTTTTAATTGAAGTTAATTTTTTATAATCTATTTTTTTATATAGTTAAAAAATATTTTAAGAGAAAAATTATATTATTAAATTTTATAAAATAACAAAAAATTAAAAAATATAAAAAAAAATTATTATTTAACTATACTGATTACATTGTAAAATACATTGTTTTACTTCTTCTTTTTTAACTTTCAATTCTTCGATTTTTGTTATAGTTTTTTTATTTTTTTTAATATTAAAATGGTTGAAAATTTAGTTTTGTAATTTTTTTTATATAGATTTAAAGTGGCTTTGCGGGATTGCTAGGGCAACCTTGGTTGCCCCAGTTTACAGGTTTGGAGGAGTTTTTTATTTTATTTTTTTAATCGAACTTGATTCTTTTTTATCATCTTTTTCTCACATAGTCAAGGAAAAAAAATCAAGAGAAAAACAAAGTTATTGAATTTTATAAGGTCCATGGATTTGTTCACATATATGATTGGTTGATCTAGTTTGCATAACCACAAATTTAATTTAATTTTTTTAATTTTATTATTAGATATTGAGTTAATTATAAATTTAATTTCATAATTGGTTTCATTTTGTTTTTTATAATATTATTGTGGTCTCAAGAAAACATCTTAATATTGAGTTAGTGTTTAATTTTGCGATTGTCTTTTTTTATCATATATTTAAATGAATAAAAAAATTTTAAAAAATTATAATTTCAATAAAATTTATAGTTCAGTTCACGGGTTTAACTTACCAGATCAAGTTACTTAATTCGCGTGTTTGATGAATTTACCCATCGACCAAATATATCTGTTTTTTTTCACTTAATTTTTTATTTTATTATTTAATACTGGACTAGTTGATACCCATCGACCAAATATATCTGTTTTTTTCACTTAATTTTTTATTTTATCATTTAATATTGGATTAGTTGGTAAATAAATTGCATGATTTATTTTTATTTGTTATCTATATAGTTTAACAACTCAGATCATAGGAAGATTAAAATCGATCTAATTTATTGTTGTCTTAACATTTTTAAAAACATTATCCTCTTAAAGTTATTTTAAAATTTAAACCTTGTTATGGTCATCAATATTTCATCTGAACTTATGAAATTTATCAATTTAAGCTAGATTAGTTATCATGTAGTTTAATTAAAGACTTAAGTCAAATAAAAAACTAAGTTTAACTTGCTTAGTAAAATTTAATAATACCATTAAAAAAATATTTTATATTCTTAATATTTTTTTTATATTTAAAAATACTCGGTTGAATGCAGGCAGAGTACTGGCTAATAGATTACTTACCATCTATCATCTCTACCTTGCTCCTTCCTCTTCGTTATCACCTGTTTTTGGTGGGATTTTCTTTCTAATTACTACTCATTCCTTACCGTGCTTTCTTTTATGACTCCTAAATTCGTGTATTAAAATTATTTTTTCTCTAAACACGCCATGCCAATATAAAATTATATTTTTAAAATCATCTAAAAAAATATAATCTTAATTATCAAACAATATGTCTGACAATAATATTGATCATCGAAATAAATCACCAGCAGCAGCTTTTTGGACCAACATGCCGTGTTTATTAAGTTTCCAAACAACAACGTGCCACCATGGAAGAGTAACCCGCCGACCTTTTTTCCTTCCTTTTCTTTTTTATAAAAAAATTAGAGTGGTAAAACCGTAAAAGAACTGTGAAACGACCATTTTTCTCCTAATTAAATATTTTTCATGTGGGGATGCGTGGGATCCTGCTGTGCTTTAGCTAAATCACCAATGAATACCATTTCCTTCACATGTAAAAGCCCTTTGATTGAAACGTTGTCGTTATTTATATTGTCACGAATCGATCTTTCTTTCACACTGCAAAATATTTATTTGATTGTTAATTAATTAATAGAGATGGGAAATTGAATTAAATCCAACTGTTCCTGCAGTGTTGAATAATGGATGTAGATCCGGGTTGCTGGCCTTGCTAACTTGCACTTGTGCGTACAATGGCACAACACCCTCGCAATTCTCGCTGTCGTTTACGCGAAACCCAACTCAAGCCGAGCACACACCTTCCTCGCCTACGCAACCCTGGCGCACTCTATCCTTACTCCCCATCTCAAAACCAAGCAGATGAACTTGTCTAGCTGTAACAAGGTCAATTTTTTTTTTTAAAAAATAAAGCCTAATAGCTGTACTTGTGTGGCTTAACATTTAAAAAATCATTATTACCGTTGTTTCATTACATTAAGACTCATTATACAAGACGATAAATAAAAAACTATCTATTTCACCAGCCTTCTTTCGCAGATCATATGTAGACTTTTTTTAAGTGTTTTTTATAGTTTAAAAAAATTTAATTGCAAATTAGAAAGTTTATCCAAGTATGTATTTAAATTTAAATAAATCAATGACTATATATGTTAATAAATAAAATTAAAAAATCATTAACAATAACTAAAAGTAAAATTTTAAAAATAAAAAAATAAATATAAATCAAAATATTATTTGTATTTATTAAATTTTTTATTGAAATAATATTTTTATTCAATTAAAAAATAATAAAAATAGATACACATATAAATTGATTGAATAAAATAAAATAAAAAAATATTATGTAGGATTACACGTATTAAAATATTTTTTAAAAATAAATATTTTTATTTTTTAAAATAAAGTTTATTTACATAAAATATAAGAAAATATAGATGAGTTAGAAAATTCTTTTTAGAAATCAAACACATACAAAGTAATTTTAAAACAATCTATATCCAAAAAGAGTTAAATAATCTAAACAAATCACAAATAGGTGATATTAATTGAAAAATAAATTTTAAAAAATATATATTTAAAAAATATTAATTAAAAAATAAAATTAAAAATAATAAAATCCAATATATTATGATTTAACTAGCCAAATCAGTATTTCAAGTTGCAGACTAGAACAATTTAATTTTTTTTTTAAAAAATTTATACTTCAAACCCCTCAACCCCCAACTCTCTTTTATGTATATATACCCACACTAAATAATAATAACAAAAATAAAAGAGTGCCAAGAAAAGAACTTAACGTGGGGTAGCCATGGTCTATCCACATGTATTTTTTTATTTTTTTTAAATATACAAACAACATATCATAAGTGAATGGCTAAAAAAAATAGAATAATATATCTTTATCCTAAAAATATAATTTTTAAGCTATTTCAACCTTAATAGTACCACCAACATTTTAAATACCTATAAACAAACTCATCAATAAAAAAACCCATGAAAATTTAAAAATTTAAAATCAAACTAAGTTAAATTTACCTTCACTAATATAAACTTATTTTTTCAATCTGATATTAAAATTCTAATACCACCATCAACCTTATCCCAAAACATGTAACACATAGAAAAAAAAAATAATTTTGGTGATAAAAAATGACTTGAATAATAAAAAAATAGCTTAAATAATAACTTTTTTTTTATCATTAAAATTCAAGAACCTCTCTTCTCCGATCATAAATTGAAAACTAGCATAAATGTTATTTTTATATCAAAAGTAAATATTTAAAATTTAAAAATATCTAAATTATATAAATGATGTTATTTTTAAAAATCAAGAATTTAGTGTATTTTTCATGAAATTCCTAACATACCACCAATGTTTGACATATTTTTTTTATTTTAATCTCTTTTTTTCGAATCTCACCGTTGCTTAAAAAATTAAAAGCAATTGATATTTAATTAGAATTAAATTACCTAAAATAAAATTTTAAAGATTAAAATAAATTATTAAAAATAAACAGTAAGTTTCGTATTGTTTCATGAGCATGTTAACAGTGCCCATCTACAGTGAAAAACCCACTCCTTTACTTTACTGTTTTCTATTTTCATGGGAAATAATATGAAAAACAATAATTAATTAAAAAAACCAGGTTCACGCTCTATTTTTTTTAATAAATAAATAAATACATGATTCATTTAATGTTATTAGAACCCTACTCGTCCCGGTACGTCAACTTGGGTTCGAACGAATTGCCATTAATGCAAGCCGAGTCTAAAAAAATTAATTTGAAACTAATTTCACTTGATCTACTAACTCAATGAGTTAATTTATGATTCTTTTGATTTTTTTTTAAATTTTAATATAACATTGTTTTATCGAAGATTTTTGTCTGTAAAACAAGTGATATAAGCCTACATCGAGTCCACTCATCATGCTATTTTTCAACAAGATCTAGACGGGTTATATATATACAAACATCCTTTTGTCAAAATTTCAAGTTCAAAATCGATCCACCGAAACCACACGAGCATTCGGCACAAATCAACATTATAACCCAAATGTTATGATATCTAACCCTGCCTTGTGTTTAATAATAATATTTATTCTCTGCGTCTAATTAAATCACAAAAGCAAAGAGAAACCTCTCCCGACTACTCGCGTCTCCACCGATCAACAGAACAATCTCATGCAGTTCTCTAATTGGTATGGTAGCTCTCTTCTATATGTATCGTTCTTATTCTCTGGTTGAATGCAGATATAGAGAGATGGACGTGAATCAATTAAAGCAGGTTTACCGTGGGGTTGTTTCTCGCAGCTGGTAAAACATAGCATGCAGCGGCTGGATGTGGACGTGGAGGAAGGAAGGATTAGAAAGGAATTGAGAAAGTTTTGATGGGAAATCAGAATCATCAGCATCAGGTGGTGAAAGTGAGGAGAGAAACGATTGAAGCATGCATGACATGTCCTCTCTGCGATAAGTTACTTAGAGATGCCACTACCATATCTGAATGTCTACATACGTGTCAGTCTCTCCTCTATCCATTTGATTGTTCTTTTTCCTTAATCTGGGTCATTACTAGGTTTATCTGGATTTGTTATCTTGGTTTTGTCCTTGCTTTGACTTGGTAGTTCTGTAATTGTGTTTAAAGAATGTGGGCATTTAGTACTTCCCTCTGCACCAGGATCTTTGATGATATCTATCCCTTTCTAGTTAGATTCCTTGCTTGATGAAATTAAAGTTGAATGTTGAATGTTGGGCATAATTTTGTTAATTGGAAAGTCTTTAACTCTCTTTTCCAATCTAATCTTAACTTTCTGTCTGGCTAGCCGCTGCTACTTGGTGGAGTAGTTTATCTGTTACAATGTAATCCTCTCAAGTTCAAAAGTTAGATTAATCTAGTTTATGTATTTTCTATTGTTTATGCAAGATTAGATTTTGGTGAAGATTATTGTTTTTGAGTTTGTCAAGTCGGTAGATGAAAAATCTCTAATATATTTTTGTTTTTATTTCATTTTTCAAATTTCATCCAGTCTGCAGGAAGTGTATATATCAGAGGATATCAGATGAAGGACTAGATAGCTGCCCCATATGCAATATCAATCTGGGTTGTATTCCATTGGAAAAATTAAGGTAAGATTTTTGCTGTTTCTATTTGGGGGAGATTGAGAGGATGCTTAGCTGATATATATGGACATACAAACACTGCTATAAATGCAATTGCTATTTGAGCAATCTGTTGAGGCAACAATAGTATTCTTATGTTCACTGAAAATACATGCTCATGCATAATGTAGTTACTTAGATTATATTTACGAGTGCGGTTGCGATTGTTTTTCGTTCAGAAATGCATCAAAATAATATTTTTTTTTAAAAAATTATCTTTGACATCAGCACATCAAAATGATCTGAAAACACAAAAAAATATAAAAAAATTTCAATTTTTTTAAAAGCGCTTTTGAAACGCAAAAAAATATAGGTTTAGTTGTAGATTACTATAAAATTTTGGTAAAAAAATAAGTTTTTTGTTGTTTGAGTCGTAACTAATCGATATGTATCACTGGCAATTGATAAACAGGCCAGATCACAATTTGCAAGATGTGAGGTCCAAGATTTTCCCATACAAAAGAAGAAAGGTAGAGGCACCTGAAGTTGTAGAGTCAGTTACATTACCAGTTATAAGAAGAAAGGAGAGGTCACTCTCATCATTGGTAGTCAGCACCCCTAAAGTTTCCACACAGACTACCACAACAGGAAGAAGAACAAAACCTTTTCCAAGAAAGGCTGCTGCTTTACGAGGTTCAGGTTTTTCAATTGAGAAACCCATTAAAAAGGAACATGATCGTGCTGAAGATAGTCCAGAGAGTTCAAGTTCACCTGAAACTCCAAAAAAGTTCAATCAGAATACACGGCAGGTAATATTAGCCATTATAGTAGTTTCTACTTTGGTGGATGCCTAATATCATTCTAATTGACTGTTGATATAAACTCATTTTCATTTATGATATCTTGAGAAACGGTCCATTTTACTAAAAAGTCTCAGAACTGCTGTCTAACCATTGCAGAATTCTTCCTCTGCCGAACCTAGTCAACCTGCTCCTGATGATGAAGCAGAGAATGGGGCCGAACCAAGGGATGGGAAATCAGATCTCTGGCAACCTTTAAATTTTTTGGTGGAAGTTGCAAACAGAACCAAGTCATTCAAGTCTATTCCACAAGTTAATGATGCTAAATTAGAATCACGACCTGTCCGTGACAATGAACCTCAAGTGCATAAAATCAAATTTAAGGAGAACAAAGACAAATCAAAAGTAAAGGATGAAAAGAATAATATCGGTAATGTCTCTGAAGGAACAGTGGAACCAAAAAGGTTGCGCAGGATTCGTCGAAAAAAAGCAGCTTTTAATGACGTTTCAGGCATTTCATCCCCAGCAATGCTGCACACCGCTGCTGCAAAGCAAGAAAGAAGAAGTGGCCCTGTTTGGTTTTCACTATTGGCTTCTGAAGAACAGTGAGAAACAACCCCAGCTTTTCAACTAGAGAAAATTTCTATACAAGGAGTCTAATGTGTATGCATACTTAAATGTTCTTTCATTGTGTTCATATAGTTCTTTCACTTTTTTTTTTCCAGGGAAGGAGATGCACCTTTGCCACAAATTCCTTCTAGTTATTTAAGGCTAAAGTGAGTTTCTTTTGTCTTCACTGCATTCTTGTATGTACTCTTCATTGCATTTTCTGGATACTTTATTTTTCTTTCGCTATGAAGAATCCTACCTGCCTTTTTATTGCAAAGATATTACTCCAAGTTTCGGTACTTGGTATCTAGGAGCACAATGAAATTTTTTTGCTTGAGTTATGCTGGTTATATGCTAGAACAACAGTCACTGCCTGAGAGAGTGAGATTAACCTTTAACCATGTTTAGGTTGGAGGCTTAGAGATGTAAAGATGTAGGGAAATCCTCAAACAATGTGCGTTGAGGTGGTGTAGATTGTGAAAACAATGAAAACTTGAGTCATGACTTTTTGTAGATGCATCTGACTCATCTAAAGTCATCCTTTCTTTGTTACACAACCTTTTCCAGCCAGAGGTCTGGAGGTTGCAGTATGGAAAGTGCGGAGAGGGAAAACCTGTGGATCTATCCAATTCAGAGAGTGTATCTCAAGACATTTGCTACCAGTCCCAAAAGGGACAGGTTATCTAAATTGACCAACTATGCCTAATTTGATAGATTTTATGCGCATCTGAGCATATGTGAAGACCATTTCAGTCTGTAACTTACAGCTGAACCTGGTCACTATGCTGGTCTGCTCTCTGTCCTAACTGGTAGAAGGGGCTGCAAAGAACCTGATGAACAACTGGTTCCTACCAGAACTCAGGGTCCATTGTAGATATATTAATTGACAGGTTAATATGTTTCCTTTTATCTTGTGATGGATTGTTTAACAAGTTTTTTTCCGCATTCAAGCTAAGTAATAATCCTCCTTGAAACACCCTGGAGATATTTAATTGTAAGAACACTGTTTGAAATAAGAACAAAACCCCTTTTTTTGGTGAATGAAGTGAAGCAATTAACTAATTCCAGAGGACGTGTTACACTTATTTTGCTCTATGGCAGGGATGGAAATGTACCTGTTTCTTTCATCCAGAAGTACTTGGTGAAGAAGCTAGACCTCACTAGTGAAGTTGAGGTGAGATGCGTTGACAAACATTATGTTCAGATCATTTTTAGCTAGGGTTAACAAAAAGAACCCGCAACATTTTAGTGTTAAGTATGTTTTTTTTAATTCATTTACAAAAGAGTCTCTGACCTTGGAAAACCATGTTATTATGTTCCTGCGCACTAGTTTTGTCATGTTACAACGATTGAAGTGCATCTCCTGCTCTTTTATTTATGTCTTCTTATTACCTTTTGAGCCCTGCACCTGTCATTAACACACATTACTCATGAACCGATCTCATTACTCATGTCTTCTAAGTCTGATTTCCTGTTGAAATTTGATTTTGCATTTGTTCCTGCAATAATGTGAGCAGATTTACTATGAATTGTTTCTTTCTCAGGAAATCAAATGTTTTGGATTTATTCTTCCATTAGTAAAGGGTGAACTAAGTATTTGTTTAAATCACGAGGAAGTATTTTCAATTAAGCAGTAGACCCTATAGTAATTTCATTATCAATTTGCCTCATGATTTCAATGTAGAAATACGCGTGTCCAGTTCTCATTCTTGTTACTCCACTGTTTGGTATTCTTGCAGGTTGAGATCAGATGCATGGGAAGACCAGTGATCCCGACATTACTATTGTGTAATTTAGTTGATCAGTGGCTCCAGGCAGCACCAAAGCCAGAACAGGTACCAGTGTCTGCTGGTTCCTCGGCAAAGGATTTTGTGATGGTGCTGGCCTATGCTCGAAAGGTCCCAAACCCATAACAATGCTCCTCTTCAATAATGTCCATATGATTCTCTGAGCCCCATGGCAACAAAGTGAGGTTTCTCCTAGGCTTTTACACCACGAGCATGTCTCTCATGACTAGTTCTTCCACGATATTTGCGGTGCCTTTGCTGTAACCACAACAGGCTGCTACAGGGAACAGGGGATGGAAAGAAATTCTTTGATTCATGGTTATATAAATGCAAGGTAATCCGCACAATAGTGTGGCATGACCTGCTGTTAGCCGACTGTGATGAGGTGCAAGTTCACGGGTGTTCTTTCAGTTATTGTATGATTATATACCACCTAGTGCAAAACTTACTGGGACCATCCCCTTTTTCTTGTATGCATATTGCACGATTTACATGCTAGAAGATGTACTATTTGCTCAATAAGACTTTCGTTCCCATCATTTTCTGTGGTGAAAGTTGGATCTGCCTCGTTGACTGCCCTCCACAATAGAAGGTTTAAGATTTGGTGCCTTTTTTCTCTGTTGAGTTGAGATCTTAGTTTTGCCCTACGTGACATGTTCTTTTTTTTTTTTTTTTTAATTTTATTTCTGGTCATCTTGACATGAGTTTTTGCACTACCCAGCTGAGTATTGGTGGCTGCCGCTCTCTCGAACGCAAAGCGTCCCATTTTAGACTGTTCCGGGCCTCATTCTCTTTAACCATCGAGTAGATGGGCCGCCCTGTCCTCGTGAACACTCGGGCAGTTCGCTAATTAGCGTCCTCTATACGGAAAGAGAAAAAATAAAAGAAAATGAATCTCTTTGGATCAGGTTTGGTATCATGAGACTTGACTGAGTCCATCAATAAATTATTTTCTTGCAAGACATCAATAATAAATTATTATTATTATTAGCTTTATAGGGGAATCACTGTTCCCCTGAAATTTTCATTAAAGTGTTTTTATAGGAATTAAACTTTTAGAGATTGAAATTTATTATTTATTTTAGTTTTTTATATTATCAAATAAAAAATAATCTATTGTATTATAAATAAAAAATATTTCTAAAAATATATAATTATTATAAATTAAACTTCATGATTTATTTCAATTTATTTTATATAGAGTTATCATAATTAAAAAAAAAACATATTGGTATTGAGTTGATACGCGATTTCTTGAAAATCTATTTTTTTATTATATTATTAAATGAAATATAATTATATAAAAATATAATTATTGAGAATTAAGGTTTATGATTTATTTTTAAAAAAATTATCATGGTCTTAAAAAAACATCTCAATTTTTAGTTGATATTTGATCTTGAAATTATTTATTATTTATTATATAATTAAATAAAATTATTTTTTTAAAATAAAATTATTTTTTTAAAATAAAATTATTAAATTTAATGGAGTTCATGATATAAGTCATGAGTTAACCTAGATTGACTCGGGTTAATTTAATATATCATCTTAGTACTTTTTCTTTAAAAAATATCATATTGAAAATATCTATGAATTCCAACTATGTTTTTATTAGTTATTCGAGTTTTCTTAACTTGTTAAATTGATTAGATTATGTCAAGATAATTTTTATATAATTTAATTTAAAACTTGAATTAGACAAAAAAAAAATATAATAAAAAGATTTTATATTCAAACCAATGAGTTCAATTTAATGATTTTTTTTAGAATTTCCCTTAATATTGACATTATTGGTTTTTTCTCCTGATTCTTTAGCTAAGTTTTCGTGTAACAGTTCACTTGCTGGGTGCACTGTTGGTTTAAAAGAGCAGAAAAGCTTCTATTTTCTTTTTATATTTTGAATTCGAAATAATGCCACCTCACGAGGGGCAGAAAAATACACCACATGGATCCCGTTATTAGTGAGAGCACCACACCATCTGCTTTCTTTCTATCATTTCAAGCTCTCTCGCTCTCCATCAATCGAACATGTTGTGTTTTTTTTTTTAAAAAAAAATCGTTACTTTCAACAACTGATCGTATTTTATTAAGATTTCTTTTTATACAAACTGTTTAATGAATAGCATATGTCCAAAATATAATCCAAATATACCTACGAATATAATCCTTGCAACAAGGATGTCTGCTGTACTGTACAATGCAATCAAAGCTTCGGACACAAGGATGTCTATTGTACAATACAGCCACACAAGTTCTTACAAGCAGACTGCCAAAAATATTTGCTTGCACAACATATCATGACATTAATTTAAACGAAAATATAATATGCATGAACTCATCCTAAACCTTCAAATTTCATCTTTGCAAGAGTGAAATTTCAGCGGTACAAGCTGTAGTAGCCATAGGCTTCCGGCCAGCTATCCAAACTCTAAACAAAACCAGCAGTCCACTCAGTATGATGGGACAAAAGGAAACTAAGCAGACAAATGCTGTGAAGATTATGGATTCTAATAACCTCTACGGTGGATTGCAAGTTGCATAACTTGGCCAGCATATTACATGGAAATAGAGAACGTGATGATTGAAGGGTTACAAGATAGTCTGAGGTTGCATGGCTGCAGCTAAAGAGGTACCCTCACCATGGATTTTACTCCATGTTCGAAATCCCGAGGTATCTTCAATTGTATTGTACTCAAAATGAATCAATTTTATAGGAAAGGATTTAGTGAACAGCCAAATAATCTACCTTTATTACTTGCTAAAAAGACGGATATGACACGCAAGACCTTGTAAATATCAAATAAACAATAAAAAAAAATCACTAAGCAATAAAATTCTTGAATTAAGGCTACAAAGGCAATAACAACATGCACAGAAAATACATGAGAGACCGTGAAAAGATCATAAGCATAAGCAGTTATTATGGTTAACGTACTTCAAGCAATAACACCATTGAACCATCATTACTTGCAAAGGAAAATGACCTAACACACTCCCGGGACCCCATATAAATTGAAGCTTTTATGGAAACACTCCTCCAATCTGGCATAAAACAAGATAGGAACCAAAAACTCTTCAAAAAACTACGGGGAAACTAGCTTTTAAAGTCTCCAAAAAAAGGATTGTGACAACAGGCAAGGCACTGATTTTGCATGGCCAGCGACAGCAATATTGCTAACTTTCCCTTGTCAATTTTTCAATTGAAAGACTTTTCCTCACATGGGGAAAATGCATTAGATCCACCTTTATAGGAAAATTCCGCCTTAATACTGATGATAAAATTCGAGAGACTGTACACCATATAGCTTATAAAAAAAGATTCATGCTTCTTAACACATGGCCAAACATCCATCAGGAACGTCTCTTTTTATGAAAAAAGGAGGACAAAAGGAGACCGTTACGCACTTATGCCACTTCTAAGGCCAAGAAAAGGGAAATTCAGAGACAATCCCACCTTCCAACAATTTTTTTTTTTTAAAAGAAGACTCTTCCCAATCCTTCCACCAGCATTTATAAGTTCCAGATCCAGGTCTTCCGCCATGGCACCAAACTTGTAACCATGTTATATCCGGATGCTTGTGTATCATAGCCAAGTTTACACAATAAGAAACAACACGAGCAACAACACCGATGAGCTAGTACCTCACTGGGGCTCTTGTACTCCACGAGCTAGGGTTCTCGTTCATTTACTTTTGTACTCCACGAGCTAGGGTTCTCGTTCAAGTCGCAGATTGATAAACACACACACACCCTTGATCTATGAATAATACATACTGAGCTGTCTTCAGTTTAACCTAATAAAATCGGCTCAAATTTAAGTGTACATAGATATATAATCAACTTATATCATCAATAGCAGTTGGAAAACAAACACAATAAAACGAAGAAATGAACACATTTTGCATTGAAATTCAAAGAAATCATTCATAAGAAGTACTACTGCTTCTTTCAAATAAGGCACAGAACACCATGTAGTAAACCATCTATTTTTCAACAAAAACCTATGCTGATTCACCACAACCACAACCACATTTACAACACACTCATCTCATCAAAAAATAATACTTGCTAGCAAAACTATGAAAAAATCGATTCAACTCAAGATTGGTCAACTAACCAGAGAGAAAATCAGCTGCTCCTGCCGAAACCAAATTCCACCTGACTTGTGCGTTTGACATTAAATTCCGAAAGAAATCTTACTTTTAGACGCGAGTATAGCTAGCTCTCATAGGACTCCCCACAACAGAAAACAAGCCTTCATCAGCCAAGTCATGCCCATCCAAATACAAATTCTCAGTTCCCCTAAACGCAGCGTGTAATACAACAACAGCAACCCCAATCAAAACCGATACCAAGACATTTAACCAGACGTGAGTGAAAATCAAAGCAATAATAGTAACGACGGCAAGCAAACCAAGCACCACACGATCATCAATCGGACGATGGAAAATCTCCAGCGGCTGGTCACGAAAGAAGTAGAGGAAAAACCAAGCAACAAAGACGACTAAGAAGACAATCATCGAGAGAGGGTGCCATAAGAGGCTTAAAAAGAGTATAAAGAGGATTATCATGGTGTAATTAACGCGAAAGTAGTAGAGGTTGCGTTTTACGCGGATTGTGGCTTCGCCGAAGGAGAGCGGAAGCGAGAAGGAGGAGAATTCAATCAATTCGCGCAATGGACGGCGCGTGGCGAAGAAGTTGGTTGTAGTATTGGCGGAGCGGGTGAGGAAGGTGGATGGAGCTGCGGCGGATGGGGGGAAATCGTACGGAGCTGGATAGGGAGAAGTCATTGAGGAAATGAACGAGAGAGAGAGGGAGAGATTGGAGATCGATTCGCCGTTACAGAGAGTGGCAATCTTGTGGATCTCTACAACTGATCAGTACTATTCCTTTAGGGGGCATTTGGTTTTTCAATGGTTAGATATTTGTTGAGACAGAGCTCAGGGGCTAGTGAAGACGACGCCGTGTTAAGCAATAATGTGCGAGCGAGACAAAGCTCAACAAGGAAAGGAGCCAATTAGAAAGGTCAACAGGGAATGGGGAGTAAATTGGGGACCCAATAATGAAGAGAAACGTTGTAAATCATTATAGAGAGGATTGCCGTGTTTACTGGACTCCATTCCTTTGACCTCGCTTTGCTGTTTTTCATTTTTGCTTTGACCTCGCTTTGCTGTTTTTCATTTTCATTTTTTTTTTCTTAAAAACAAAATTAAATAAATTTTAAGAGATAGAATATTAAAAAATAATAGCTAAAAAACTAATTATCAATAAAAAAGCAACATTACAAAAGTGGCCCAAATTTTACAACGCCCCAAGATCTAAAAATCCGGCTTCCAATTTTCTAGGCAAATAACCAGGCAATTTACTAGGCAAATAACCTGTAAACACTAAAATTATATTAAGAAAATGGCAATTATTAATAAACTTCTTAAAACCATTTAAGTAAACTTCTGATTTGGAGTACATAAAGAAAAGATTCCGCAGGAATCACAGATTGTTAGCGTCAGCATGAAGAAAGGAAGCATACGCTTGTAGAATCTCTCTATGATCCCTGCAGTCAAGAGCACAATACGAGATATTCAACAGCCGGCAATCATAAAAGGTTAAACTGCAATCAAAGATATCAGAAAAATGGATTGCCCTTCATATATTTACTCTTTTTTTTCCCAATACAAGCAAATTTTGTTGACCTGGGAGTTGTCCTGTAATGTGCCATGTTTGTTTGTTGTTGTTTGTTCTGTTTGTTTACAATATTGAAAGAGTTGTGGGAAACCTTTTGGGCTTGTGGGACAAACTAAATTGATGAGAAATGGCTGAGTCTAGCAGGACTAGACTGGCGTTTAGGGGCTGAAAATTTTGACGAGGAAATCAACCATGTGACTGACAATTAGTATACCTGAAAAGATCATTTAGCTGCCTGTTTCCTCGATCGAGCCGCATACCAGTAAGAAAAGATTCTGCTGCACGCTTGAAATCCTGAGAAGATGAATGGTCAGAGACGAATCATTTTTTACGGTGATTAAGAAAGACGGATGAAGGTGACGATCTACTTACTTTTGATAAATTCCAGGCAACTCCTCCAGCATAGTGTGCTTTTGGCAAGGAAGGCAGCACCATCTGGCTAGCGATAGCATCTCTCAAGGCAAGATCACCTTCATTCAAGTGAGCCCAGCACAAACTTCGATTGGTTAAAATAAATGCTTCTGCCAAAAACGTTTGACTAGATAAGAGCGCTGCTTCTGTGTCAAGAGCCTGCAATTTCAACCAAAACGTTAAACAATTCAGATAAAAAAAAAAAAAAAAAAAAAAAAAAAAAAAAAATTGTAATAGTAGAAGAACAGGAAGAAAGTTGTGGAGAAACATAGATTGAATCAGCAAAGCTCACCTCCGTATACCAACGGATGGCGTTAACATAATCCTTTCTCACGAATGCATCTTCTCCCTTAGATGTTAACAGAAAAAAATGCTCCAATTTTCTGAGTTTCCTCTGTGAGAAGATTCAATAAAGCTTAGAATTTTGAATGCAACTAGAAATTAAGCACAGGAATATTAGCTCTTTATGCACAAGATAGATTATCGAGTCTAACCTTTCTTTCGAACTTTTCTGAGTTAACGTACTTCATAATTCCATCAAAGCTCCAGTCAGTAACTTTTGGAATAGGAAATGTAACTGGCAAGAGAATTCTGACATCCTCAATATGACCACCTAAGGCAGCAACTTAAACTGGTGTTAAACCAAGCTGTTTGACAGTCAATTGTAAGCATTCAATTGAAATAAACATATGACAAAATTACTGAAACTCAATAAGAGGAAAAGAGCTCGCACACTATTTGTCAAATTTGGATCAGCTCCGGCATTCAGCAAGCATCTTATCACTTGTGTCTCCCCGTTAGAAGCTGCCACTTCTAAGGGTGTCATCCCAAGAGAGCAAGTGTTTGGATCAGCTCTAGCCTAAATACAGAACAACGTAAAATGATGACGGAAAATTTAAAAACCTGAAAGCTATGGGATATGAAAATCAAGTCAGAATCATACCTGAAGCAATAGCTTTACACAGTCAAATGACGAAGCCGAAATGGATGCCACCAAGGGGGAATGAATGAAATCAAAAATCATGTTTGGCTGCAATATGTAAAAGAAATTATTCACTGGTAAACCAAAAGGAAAAATGAAGGGAAAAAGGAGAGAAACAACCCCCTGATAGATAAAGCAAAAAGGGAACGGGACAGCATCAGAAAATGTTTCAGCAAGATAGACAAGAACAGAAAATTGCATTGAAAAGCATGCAACAGGCTAACGTTTCCAGTTCATTAAAAACAATTAACCCATCTATTGTCTAGAAAGATTTAGGAGATATAGGGTATAGCAACTAGTAAAGCTTACATTGGCATGATTATCCAACAAGATTTTAACAGCTTTTTTCTGACCATGAATTGCAGCCCACTTCAATGGTGTGCCAGAATTAGCTTTTGCATCCACTTCAGCACCTTTCAAAATCAGCAGTAATAGTAATTTCTTCAACCCTGAAACAAAAAGAGTACGTAACACAAACTAAAACTAATATACGGATCAAGCACAATTACCACGACTTAAGTAGCGTCTATCATCATTGAAAGACTTTCAAGGATGATAAATACATGCCAGCTATATATCAAATGGCGACTACAATGATACTTCAAAACCACACAGAACAGAAAGGTTATAATGTAAAAAATAAAACATAAAAGCACAAAGAACTAGTCCACAACTATAAACTTCGAAGTGAAACTTGTACACAACCTGACTTTGCAGCGTAATGGAGAGGAGTGAGTCCGCTGTCGGTTGCTGCATTCGGGTTTGCCCCACTGTCAAGAAGATGAACTGCGGTTGGATAACGATCTGCTGTAATAGAATTGTGCAAAGGAGTTTCACCTGGAAAGAGGCAAGAGAACATTTCCATTACAGTGTTACAGACTTCTTGAAAACACAGAACCTGCACACTCATATTCTCTAGAAAGCAGAGAAACAAACTTTTTGCCAGTATCGTAAATGAAGATAAAAACTGAAAGGAGGGAGCTGCGAGATGATATGTGGTTCAAATACAATCTCTTTCGAAATTGAAATTTATAACAATCCAATTTGTGCCATATACCTTTCCCATCTCTCGCATTAACATCTAGTTTAGCTTCTGCCGTAAGGTACCGGCAAACATGAGCCCTTCCTCCTACTGCAGCAAAATGCAATGCAGTTCGACCATTCAAATCCTTGATGTTTGCTACTGTTTCCTCTAAACCATCTCCCATATCAAGTTCATTTGCCAGTCCTGCTCCTACATTTCATAAAGATAGAAATATGTTTCCAAAACTAGGATAAAACCCACATATACCTCGATGTTATCTATATCCCCAAAAACAAAACAGAGAAAAAGAGAATTATGAAAGCATTATGTCCTTACTTTTCCGTAGGTTGAGATCTCCATTAAATGCAGCGCCAAGAAACTGATAATTACTGGCAAAATCTGCAGGCCAAAGTCCAAGTACGAAATTAAGATAAACCCCATAAAAACAGATGAACGCAGAGAGGAACCTCAAATCATTTCAAAGATGAACCTCGACGGAATGCCATTCGAGAACAAAGTACTTGTTTTGGAGTAGCGAGTGAGAGCAAAACAGATAGAAGGGGAGGCTTTTTATAAAGAAAATTTCAGGAGAACACGCCAGGGAAATGAAAAGACTCGGACAGCGCATATAGATGTCCTTGATTTGAAATGAAATTTATGACAAACTGTTCAGTCCCCCGGTTAATTATTACCCCTGTGGATTTTGGTTTCTTGGCTCCTCTTAAAATATGAGATCGAGTACAGAGATTCACGAGGATCTGTTTGGTCCCCGAGAATAATTTTAGCATGGATGGTGACTGAGAAGCAAAGTCGGAGATTGGATTTTACATGAAATATTCACCTCCATAATGCTTTCGGTTTACTCTTACAGAGGTTTTAGCAAAATCATGTCTCCTTCGATTTATATCAAAGGCGGTCAAAAGATCGATCCAAATGAGTTTTCTTTTCTTCTCAAATTGCAAATCCAAAAAACGATGGCAAACAAGCATGTCTTCAGGGTTTCTGGAAAAATTTCAACCCCTTTATAGTGATTTTTTATCCACAAGTAGCCCCTTCAACCGATTCATAATGAACAAAATTTGATTCCGTATCATCATTCCATCTGTCCCAACCATCAAATATGAAATCAAATGTATCAATCTTGTGTCCAAGCAATATCAAATCATGTTCACAATTCAAAAGACATTAAACAATCTGCTGCCATCTTTGATAAAAAGGGAGCAGGCAAACCAGGGGTTTTACAGGATATCCTGATGGCAAGAAGGAAAAATGTGTGTAGATTACAATATACATAGTTTGATAATCTATGGCTAACTTCATGCTCCAGTACAAGAAAATTCATAACGAAACATTGTATCGGTGCATCAATATCAATTCTTACAAGTCATGAAAGAACTTGTAGGCCTTGATATCTTCCACAATAAACCTGACAGCACCAATGCAACCCAATACTGCAACAACTAAGAACCAGGTAGCTATCACTAAATTAAGGAGCTGCACTGATAAGCGAAGCTCCATGTTTTTCGGCATTCTTCCAGATTTCAAATATGCTATGGCAGGGAAAACAAAATCCAGCGGGGTAAACCCAATGGCACCACATATTGATACAAAGTCACCAAAAAAGGGCATCGCTGCAGCAATGAGGGTGATAAGAACAATGTAAATGGAGGTGCACACCAGCCGAATCAGGCAGTTTTTGAGAGGGAAATAGCCTGCAGTCTTGCTCCGCAGCATGTTGTTCTCGAAGTAGGCATACGTTGGCCTGCAATATATCTGAATAAAGAAAGTGCGAGTGGAACAGTTACAAAGTATAAGAAGAATGGTCAGAAAATCAGTGTCCTTCAAATTTTCTGCAACCAGGAATCACCCAAGATCTTAAACTGGTTAAAAAAGAATTTAAGCCAGCCACCAGAAGTGAGAACATGTTTTGAATAGAATATGTATGGGAACAGGGAAAGTTAGAAAGAACAGCAATCAAGATGGGAAAAAAACGAATCTTTTAAAAAAAGACAGAAAGACCAAAGAATTGGTTACTAAATTCATGATAACACACGCAAATACACAACGCTAAAAAAGTACTATAACTCAAGTGTTTTCGCAGTGTTTTTGAGATGCAGATAGTGACTTTGCCTAGGTTCACAGAACGTGTCTGTTGACAAAAAAAAAAGTCTCGTGGACATCCATCAAAAAATACTAATGGCGTATCACAAAACCATTAAAAGTTCAGTGGTAATGTAATGGGTTTTGCCAGTACTAAAATGTCCTATAGTTTGGTAGAAGGGGGGAGCTTATTCTATTTATCAAGCGACATGAGTATTTTTCCAGGGCACTAAAATATCCTTTAGTGGTAAAGTATGCTGGATGATAGAAATTCTATGCTAAATTCAACCCTCCAGGTCACAGCAAAGTTATGAAGATAACCTGATAGCATCCTGATATCTGAATAACTGCGAAGAGATTTGCCATGACAATTGTCCATTCTGGAACAGTCAGAGAAGCCAAAATGTAAGGCTGAACTTCTGACCCAAATGCCCAGTATCCACAGAATGCCAATTGCCAGTAAGTCAAGATAATAACGGTGTACGCTGCTGACACACCTTTATACAAGTTCTTTTTTGCAGGCTCTTTTACAGTGTTCTGGCAAGAAAACGGTCATTCAATGAATGTTGAAAATGTAGATAACCAAAGAAAATGGCCGAAGGAGTAATCGAAAATAATTTGGTGAGTCTGATACCTGTATTTCTGGAAGCATCGCATCTCCAAATGAAAAGGCAATTGCCCCCAAAGCATTGAAGGCTTTGAATCTCTTAAGAGAGGAGCTCCCTTGCACACTGTAACTGACTGATTTTCTATCCATATTCTCACCTAAAATGGTGCAGAAAATATGAAACTGCGTGAGTCACTAACAGGACCATTTTTACGAGAGAAATGAAGACAAATCAGATACAAAAAGATGGACAAGCAAACTTGCCAAGCCTACCATTATACAATGTCACGCCAATTGTTGTGCCAGCAAAGCCGATCGTGCTGAACGTGCACAACGCATTGACCCATCTCAACGAGTGGATATCAGGGAGTTGAGAGAGAAAAAGTTCAAAGGCTCCAAAGAAGAGAATAAAATGCTGCAAGGTCAGCGTACCGTCTTTGTGATAGTGCTTGTAAACAGCCTGCCGAGAAAAGGAATCCAGCATTTCCCCATCCCACAACAAAACGAGACCGAATTGAGAAGAAAATTAAGGGAAATGATGCACATTAAAGATCACTCGGTATTATATATTGACCAACCTTGAGGCTGCTTCCGGCAGCAATTTGAATTGCTATGTTATTGCCCAAAGAAGCCACCTGCTGAAAAAATGCAATGGACCAGTAACCCCAGAATCCTTCAAGAATCAGAAAAACAAACAGTGAAGCAAATAAAAAACTAAAGAATCCCGTTTACAAAACAAACCAAGCGATATTACTACAAAGCACTAGTGTGTTAAGTTACAGAATTCAAGTATTACTATTATTAGCAGGGATTAATGACGAGGAAATTAGTGAGACGAACCGAAGATGCTTTCTGCGAGATGCCTATATGTGATCTGCTTCTTCCCATTCCATCTCCACAAAGACGCAATCAATAGACTCGAGTACCAGGTGGCCAGTGTTGCACCTACCAAACTACTCACCCCTGAACCCAAAAGACATCTTTTTTCAAGTCAGAAATCAGTCCCTCTAGTTCAATCTTCAAAATATTAATAAAAGAAAGGATTGAGACTAGAAATTACCAAGGGGCCAGCCAAGAGAAGCGAGAGCAAACGGTAAAGGAGCATAAGCAGCAGGGGTAGCAATTGTTGTGGCAACATGGAACGCTGCGTGTTTCCAAGTGCCTTTGCCTTCATCAACTTCTCTTGAATCTTGTCTTTCCACTGCAGCTACAGCTACAGCTACATCTTCTCTTCTTTCTTCTTCATCAATATTCCCTATCGAGTTAAGTGACATTTTTTAAACCTTTTCTTGCAGCTTTGTGGTGTTCCGGTGGAGCAAGTAACAGCACAAGAAGTGAGGAGTCCATTTGATAATGAAATGGAAGGCTTTTTTTTTTTACTTTCTTGTATAAAGAAAGATCAAATTCATTGAAAATTGAACGCTGAAATTTCTGAACAATTTGAAAAGGAAGATACCAATTATTATTATTTTTTAAAATGTTTTTTTTTTAAATAATATTTTTATTTTTTTACTCTAAATATTTTTTTATAATGTTTTGAAAAAATTTAATCTACTAATATAAAAAATATTTTAATATATTATAAAAATACTTTAAAAATAATTATATTATATTTAGAGCCTATTTAAAATTATAATAGTGGTATCAATTTAAAATATTTTTTGTTTGAAAATGTATCAAAATAAAAAAAATTATATTTTAAAAATTATATTTGATAATAATATATTAAAAAATTAAAAAATAAAATAAAAATAATTTTCAAAATTTTATACCGCATTCAGAAACATACGCTAACAAACACCCCAGATTCCATGTTATTACCGCTGCAATCTGCAAAATTACCATTTTATGTCAGCAAAAAAAATTCCAATATAAGAAAATGACTAAACTGCCCATATATACACAACTGGAAACGGGGGCTATAATCTGGCGCAGGAGGGGGCTTCCCATGAACTCCCAGAACTAAAGTCAACTTCTCTAACCCCAGAAGTAGCGTAATCTGATGAAGCAATAGACATAAAGCCCGAGCCCTTTGGAATCGAAGCTAGTTCAATATCCCCCCAAGACTCAACTTCATGACTATCCTCGCGAACCCCGAAACAAAACACAACCAGAACCCCTTCCCGGGGCTAAAATCTCAGATTCACCGGAAACAGCTGAGACTCCCGGATTAGCTGGTCTTGATCCCCAACAAACCACACCACCTTCCTTAATAACAACTAAACCCATCACCAGAAACAATCCTTCTAAAAACAAGACTATCAATATTAGACTTATGAAACGAATCAAATGATGTTTTTATTAAACTTCCAATGACCCACGTTTCCATATTCCACACTAGGAAAGTAAGATCCTTTAACGGCACGAGCATGCTATTTGCCTGAAGCAATTTGTGAATAAGAGTTGTATTGGGCACTTTCTGGGAAGACTTTTTTACCCGGATTTGATAAGTTAAAGCAAAATGCTTGAGAGTTGTTGCATGTGATTCCACGAATAAACTCTTCACCACATAAGAGAGAGGCCATTGCTGGAAGGGAGCTGGAATATGCTGTTGATGTTGACACTGATAAGCTGTAGATACTAGCGTGGTTGCTACCCCGAGATTTTGAAGTGGTCAACGAAGTGACCTTTTGTTTTCTTTTGATAAATATTTTTTCAATTGAAATCAAATCAAATTCTAATTATTATTTTAATTTAATTGATAGATTATAATAATTTTTATATTTAAAATAAAATATCAAATTTTAAAATTCAATTCAATTATACTATTTTAAATATTTATAAAATTAAATTAAATTAAATTAATAATATCAATTATTTTGCGTTATAAGAGTTTTATCCGAGGATATTATTGCTGTGTTTGAAGCAAGGTAATGGTAACAAATTGATTGATTATAATATTAGACTTT